GAGGTGCTTGCTCGCAAGCCTGGAGACCTGAGTTCTGTCCCTGAGAACCAACCGCACGAAGCCTTCCTCTGGCTTCCGTTCACACATTCTTACGCTACAGCGTGCCTGTGTATCCCAGCCCCGCCCCCCAGTCATTTTTTTTTTTACAGGGTGGTGCTAACATGCCTGATAATATTCCATATATTCAAAATAAGGTCTGGGCAGGGCAAGAGAAGCATTTTTTTTTTTTTTTTTTTTTGGTTTTTTCGAGACAGGGTTTCTCTGTGTAGCTTTGCACCTTTCCTGGAGCTCACTTGGTAGCCCAGGCTAGCCTTGAACTCACAGAGATCCACCTGGCTCTGCCTCCCGAGTGCTGGGATTAAAGGCATGGGCCACCAACGCCCGGCTAAGAGAAGCATTTTCTAATCAGCCACCAAACAAACACACCAACAAGAGCAGCAAAGTGTGTTGTGTGTTCCCTTCAGTGTGTGGTTTGAGTGTAAAGTCGTCCTTACTGGAGGCTGGGAAGGTTCGGGGTGCCTTACGAGGATCTAAAGACAGAGAAGTCCGAGGCTCCAAAAATAAAGAGGAAAGAATTCACCTCGCTGCCTTTTGTGTGTGCTGACATATCCTGAACTAACAAAAACCAAAGTGTGTGTGTGTGGGGGGGGCAGCATTTAAAACATTTAAAAGCCTAGACTGCCCGGGAATGGATGTGGGAGGGTTTGTCACATTTCTTTCAAGTGTTCTGTTCATTGGGAGCTCGCAGGGCTGGGCGACCAGCCAAATGAATGTCAGCTGATAACATATTGTAACTTAAAGCAGACTTGGCTGCCAGGACCTTGTGTCGAGATGCCGCGTTACAATATGATACAGTCTCATGGATACGATGTATCCATGTAAGTGCTTGCTGTGATAATGCAGCCAACATCCAGCCCAAGCGGCAATGCTTTCTTGAATTCTTCCCTAGTAAGTCCCACCGGAAGCTAAGTACAGCCCCCACAATTCTTAGAGCATACCCCCCAGGTACGGACGTCAGAACCTTTCTCTTCCCCGGACATTCCAAATGACAGGTACTGTAGCTAGCGGGTGGGGCCACGTGACACATGGCCGCGTGTGACAACTGCAAGTTACACAACTCGATGTTGTCATCGTTAAGATGAAGAGAAGAAATGGAGTCAAAGAAATATAGCTTGTGTCCTTGGGGGAGAGGGCAAGGGTAGTGTCCTCCACAGGTGACTCACCTGTGCCTGGTCTTGGCTCCCTGCTACATGGCTTGATGGTGGGGGTCCAGAGCCGCCTTGTGCCTCGGTCACACACACACACACACACACACACACACACACACACACACACACACACACACCCCTCCACCCCCAGAATGACTTCCACAGTGGTGGGACTAGGAGGTGACTGAAAGGGAAATATATCTGACACTCACCACCGAGCAATGTGTGTGGTTTGGACTTCCAGCACAACGTAGAACTTTGTGTGACTCAGTCATCAAAACTGGGGCACCCACTAGGGCAAAGCAGCGGCTGGAGTGAGTTTTGAAGAGGAGCAAGTCTGTGCTGGGTGGGACGCTTTCCACACACGAAGCCTGAGCCCTGAGTCACACCCAGGGAGCCCAGATGCTCACCGCAACTCTGAGTGATCTTCCAAGGCTCCGGCTTGCTGCCTTCCAGACTGAGGGTAGCTGGGTGGCTCTGAGGTCCTAATCTCCCACTCTTGCCTTCTGTGGGACCGTTTCCCCCATTTCAGGAATCTGGGAGTCCCTGCAGCTGGGCGCCTCATCTCCACCATCCACTCCCTGGTCTGTCCCCTGTCTGCTCTTTCCCGCCTCTTTGAGCTCCAGAGGGCATCCTAGTGAAAGGAGCAACAATGATGCTATGATGTTATGATCTTACAGCCATCGACTTTGGCTGTAGCAGCCGGTGCCATGTAACAAACTCCCCCAAAAGATCCTTGCCCTGCTCACTGTGGCCTTTATTTTACAACGTGTCTGTTTCTTCAGACTGGGTCCATGCCAGCCTTTGATAAAGTTCAAGTAAACTCCGAGTATCTCATCATCACTCCAACCCAGTATTTCACTGGCTGGATAAAGACCCATGGCCAAGCCCAGCTCTCAGGGTGCTGAAGATGTAGGGACCCCTTGCCATGTAGTGCCGCCTGGACCGCATCCCCCCCCCCAAGGAGCAAAGCAGGGAAAAATTGGGAAGAAATTCCATCATATTCTTGGTGTCCAAATTCTGGCCAAACCTTTGGACAATAGCTTATTTGAAATACGTTGGAAACTTTTGGTAGCCATGTGAAGGGCTCTGCTTGTAGGTGCAGAAAGAGGCTGCCAGCGTGGAGGTCCTCACAGACAGAGCCACAGGGACCGAGGAAGCCACATGGGACCCCACAGGTTGTACTGAGTCCCTGTTCCCCGTGCACAGGTTGGAGCCCACAGAAGGGATTCTAGAAACATCCCCCCCCCCAGGAACCTGGTGAGACCATGGGTATAGAATGCGCAGGCACGTCTGCTTTCTTCCTGTCTCTTGTGGAACAGTACTGGTTCCTGGCAGTTAAAGATTCGGGGTTCCTGGGTATGTTCCCACCTGGCCTGGGAGCCTGAGAGAGAGAGAGAGGCAGGCCTAGACCTTTCCTTTCTGCAAAACCTGGAACTGGCTGGCATCTCTCTGCCTCTCCAGGAAGGTTCCTCTGAGTGGCCACGAAGTTTCAGAGATACTTAAAAACTCACTGCCAGAAGGGTTTGGCCAGAGACACCCAAGAATTTGAGACGTGTGTGGCTGATTCGAGCTCATTAGGAGCGGGAGCCGTAACACCGCCCATCCTGCCAGAAGCCCTTGCAGGGGTCAGGAGTTGCTGGTGTGGTTTGAAGTCAGAAGCCAGGGGTTGACTCCTAACAAACCCGGTGACCACTGCGGTGAAGGCGGATCGCTTTAAGAATACCCCCCTTTAAAGAGTTATAAATAACACCCCCTGTGGGTGTGTGTAGCACGTTCTTAGTCTGGATTTTTCTCTAACAGAGACCCCCGCGTGGCACCCATGTTGCCCAGAGGAACAATGAGATTCTTTCTTCTGGCTGGGCCGGTCGGAGGAAACAGGAAGTGAATGCTTATAAGGGGTGACTGGGGGCTTTCATATGGCAAGGGGGGGTGGGGTGGGCGTAATGACTGCTGTTAGGATCCCAAAGCTGATTCTTGTGGTGCCGCTGTGGAACCCAGGGCCCGGGCCACTGAGCAATACTTCTGTCCTCTGGAACTTGCCGGAAGAGGCGGAAAGATGCCAACCAGTTGGAAGGCCTGACCGAAGGGCCTGCCTCTCTCTCTGGCTCCTTGGCCACCTAGAAGCTGCTCTATGAAGGAGCAATGGAGAAGAGGAGGCAGGAGACTCACCATAGAGAACTCAAGGCCATTGCCCTGTCTTCTGGGCATCTTCGTCACTGTCCCTCATGGCTGTCCCAGAGACTCCAGTGTCCCCTCATTCTGTTGGCTCGTCTGCACCTCACAGCTTGACTCTTGTGCATCGTGAGGTAGAAGCCTGGCCTCCACCTTGGGACCTTTCCTGAGCTTTCTCAGCTCAGCCTCAAAAACCCCAGCTCCATCTGCCCAGATCAGAACACCCTCGGCGTTTGCTCATGACAATTGACTGGAGGAAAGCTTTTCCTAATTACATGGATGATAATAAAATAAATGGGTAGGACTCGCAAGCTGGCTCAGCGGGTCTAATGAATGGTGCCTGCCAGCAAGCGTGAGACCCCAAGTTCAATTCCCAGGACCTGGCGGAAGGAAAGAACTGACCACTGCAAGTTGTCCTCTGACCTCCACACACATGCCACGGTGTGCATGGGTGCACATGTGTAACACACACACACACATACATGCACGCACACGCGCGCGCGTGCACACACACACACACACACACGATGAATAAGTGTAATAAAAACATAAGGTTAATCTCTTATGAATATACTCAAGTGAACAAAATTTGGAACCTCCAACGATCCCACCTGAACTGCGTCCGTGTGGGTGAGTTAAGAGTTCACTAGGTTCCAAGAACGAGAGAGCAGCGTGTTAGGAGGAATGAACGCCAGAGTTGATGCTACAGGCAGAGGCGGAGGCTAACGTATTCTGTGGGATTTCCTCTCCTGGTGGGACAAACACACTTGTGTGCTTGAGGCTGTGCGGTTGGAGTGGCTGCCTGATAAGTGCCTGGGGAATTGAAGTCCTCTTCTGTTGGCCATGACCGGTTCTTTAAATTCACCAGCGTCTCCCGCATCTGCTCTCTGCAAGCATTGTCCTGGGTTCTGACATCACTTGTAACCCAGTCCCTTCCCGGCCAATGCCATGCTGGCTGTGTAGTGTGAAAGGACCGTGCGACCAAGGGATGCTGCGTCTTCCTTACCCCGGGCCCTCTGTTTAAACTCAGTCAGCCCCAGCAAGTGCTCATGGCCACATTTCAGCAAGTAATGGCCAGAGAATAACCAAAACACAGTTGATGTGATGGGCGGGAATAAAGCCAAGCCAAGGAAGAGTTGGGTGGGGGATCACTGTACAGGTGGTCGTCCCTTTAGTCAGTTTAATGCCACATAGTTCCCAGTGCAGGGTGACCGCTGCTGGTTTTTTTTGGTTTTTCGAGACAGGGTTTCTCTGCGTAGCTTTGCGCCTTTCTTGGAACTCACTTGGTAGCCCAGGCTGGCCTC